GCGCATTGGCGCGTGGCGCGTTAGCGCGTAGCGCGTGTTTTCATTATAACCCCTCAAAAAACGAAAAATGTTACGAACTAACCTAGTTTAATAAATTATTCCTGTTTTATATCACTGAAAATCGAGGTCAGTTTTGATGCATTTCCAGTTTTATCATCGACTTACATTGTTTATGTTTTCAAGGCCACTTCCGGGTTCTTCTCTCGTTGCATAAGATCACGTGATCAAACTGTATCATTATTGAATGGCAATATTCAACCAAGAATACCATTTATTATTGCTTAGTATATGATATGAAACGATAGTTCGATGCTAGGATGTCTGTATCTTACGTAGTTATTGCACTTTGATCAATTTTCAAAAATTTGAAATCTCGTTTGCGAGATCTATCATGGCGGCCCCCTGAGTGTCACGTTTTATTTTTAAATTTAATTGAAATTTCATTCAAAAGTCTACGCACTCCGTTGAGATGCCTCCAAAAGTTCGACGCTACATAGGAGCTTGGGAAGCCGACTTTGACTGGCTATATTTGGTTGACGGTGGGATGACGGGTTTGTGTCAGGAGTGGGAAGAGATGCATATTCTACTGTGACATGGGAGTCAATAGTGAATAAAAGATGTGAGCAAATCTGAAATTATGTTTTTATTGTTTAATTTACCAAATATTTTTAAGTTTTTTTGCTGTTTTTATGGGACCCACTTTTTCATGGTGGGACCCATATTTTTTTTATATTGGGGTCCCTGGAACCCAACTTAGGACTCGGCTACTGAAAGCACTGACAGTGATCAAGATTTTAAATATATCATATCCTATGGTAGGATATACCTAGCACAACCAAAGAGAGAAAAATACTTCAATTAAAAACAATTAGTGATCATTACAAACTCCTTTAAACTTTACATTGTCAGGACTCCATTGTGTTTTAAATGTTATTGCTGACATTATTTTATTTCACAGAGGTTCATTTTAATCAGTAAATGGGATATTAAACCTCAGTAAGTGGAACACCTCCAAAGTGGAACACTTTTTGTGGTTCTACTTACACAGGTTCTCTCTCTGTTTGATGTATGGATGCATATTTGCTTTCTACAAAAAAACATGAATTGTGTTGTAATCCTCGTCATGGTTATTGAGCAAGGGATGAATACAAAGAGCCATGGACAAGGTCAACACAATGGATATGTCCATGTCAGCAAAAATGTAATGATATTTATGAATCATATTAAATTATTTTTGAAGCAAATTGAGCCATGTGTATGTTCCCACTTTCTGATGCTATATAAAAATATATTACACATTATTATATCATTGCTAGAATTTGTGTCATTTGATTGGCTAATTCAGTACCATGTGATCAAAAATACCAAAGCGTATTTCACACCTCCCTTAATTTTTGAATTATAAAAGACGTATTGCCCGGCGTACTGCCCGCCCGGGAATTCTGAATCGTCCCGTTTCGTCCAGTACAGTTGTGACGTGCATTAAAATGGCAGGCGGAAAAAAATTTAAAAGTCTGAATTCCGATGAAAAGAACGACATCTTGAGGGATGTCCATTCTAAAAACACTATTAAAACAACGGAAACGTCTTTGAACAGTTTCAAGTGTTATGTGGACGAAAAAGATATCGAAATAGACGTTAAATCTATCGATAAAATCGTTCTGGATGGAATTTTAGAGGATTTTTTTCTTGAACTGCGAACGAAGGATGGGGAATATTACAAGAGTTACAGTCTGCAAAGTATTCGTCATGGACTCAATAGGCACATACAAAGTGAATGTCTAGCAATGATATAATAAAACAAATATTTCATTCTATGTTTGGGCAATACCTGTTGCACTTTCAATGATTTTTGCAGCATGTATTTCCCTCGCCCTTCGGGCTGCGGGCAATACATGCTGCAAAAATCATTGAAAGATGAACAGGTATTGCCCTCCATAGAATGAAATATTTGCTTAATATCTAATTCTATTGAGGTGAATATATATGCATCTTTCACAAGTGATATTCCACAAAGCCCAAAGGGCTATAATAGAAATCATCTTATGAAAGTGTCACTTGTTATCACTTGTTATTTTAAGTCACATGTAGGACATGGACCAATCAGAGAGTGAGGAATATGTCAGTGAAATAATAAATATATACAATAAATGAAATATTTATCAGTTGTTTACAACACAGAATGAAGCAAGATTATGGATTGATTAATTACATATGTCACCAAATGTTACATGCTGCACACTTATGAGCTGTTCATACTGCTAATGACCTGGGTTCATATAACAACTGCGGGACATCTATGTGACTCTATTCCAACAATTTTTAATAAAACAAATACCATCCATAAAGATGAAATTTCACAGGTCCACTAAAGGATTTAAAAAAATATCATATAATATAACATATACAGGAATTGGAAATATTACATATTTTCAAGCATAGATTCTTTACTCCATTACAAAATTCTATGTCTGGTGCAAATTTTGTTTAATAGACTAGATGCGAGTAGAAATAATCTTGATTAACATCATTAAATATTCACAATTCAGTGAAAGTGATGTCATATTTGAAATCTACATGTAAAAAAAAGATTATAACTTATTTCAATAATTAAATGTGGTGGCCATTTTCATCTGTGTGACATATTTTGTTTAAACATATAAATTAGGCTACTAGTAGAAATTGATGGAATAACCAAAAAGAGTTTCAACCTGATTTTTCCACAGTAAATGGCCAATTTTTTAACAACCTGGTAAGCTTTTGGGACACCATCTGTTGGAAAACTGAAGACTTAACACAGACACAATTCAAAGGTGAAACCATTTCAATAACCCAGATGCGAGTAGAAATAATCTTGATTTATGTCATTAAAAATTCAAAATTCAGTCAAAGTAATATCATATTTGAAATCTACATGTAAAATTACATCTAGAAATGTGGTTTTAAAAAGTGTTTATCAACTTTGAAAAATTAGTTTTCGTTGAAAATGTGACTTCTAGCTCGGGGAGATTCCCCATAGACCCCATGCTATAAAATCACAAAAAATAAAATATCTTTTCTTTTAGTGGCCATATCCAGCTCCTGATCATCCAGTATTTGTTTTATTATGCACCTCCCAATCAAAGTTAAGTGGAGTACTTACAGTTTAGTTGACATTATTTTGACATTTATTTATTTTTTCTTTAAAAACTCAGACGACTTCCGGCCAGTTTATTCGCTTCACTGGACGAAAATATTTGCCCCGGGAATTTAATTTTTATTTATTCGAGACGTTCTTGCAGAATTATATGTAACTTTTGAATGATAAGGGTAATTGTGATTGATTAAGTGCATTTTTTCTTCTATTTTCCGCCAGTTTCAGATGTAAGCTTTAAGTAGTACTCCAGTTATTAAGAAATAAAACTCTGAAGTGGGAATGTTGCAAAAACATTGAAAAAATATCCGACCCTTTTTCTCGAAAGGGTCAGATATTGAAAAAATATCCGGCAGTTTTCAAAAAAGAGCAGAGTATTGCCAAATTACAAGCAACTAAGAACCAATCAGATTTGAGTATTTTAATGAGGTGCATAATAATTTGCTTTACTGGACATATTTTCATTAGTATAAGTATTAGACACATAAGGGTAATATGAAAATTGAGCCACTTAAATTGATAATATTCAAGTTTAAGGGAACTTTCTTATATACCTGCCATGTTAATTGACCTGAATTAGCCACCTGGTGGTGAAACTGGTAACTACCTACCCACATTTGGGTAATTGGCTTGGGTATTTTGAATTAGCTAACAATGTGATGGCAGGCAGTCGGACAAATGGATGGATGGACAGATGGACAGACAAGTGTGCAATAACAATAGTTCATATCACCCATGTGAGCTAGAGAGAAACAAAAGTACTTGGAACATAAAAAAAAAATAATAAATTGAATTGTTTCAATTATGCTGACCATCCTTGTTTGCACTGTATAATCCTATGATTATTGGCTATTATTAACACCTTGCTGAGATATAACCGTATTACAAAAAACTAAAATGAACAGGATTATACAGTGCAAACAAGGATGGTCAGCATAATTGAAACAATTCAATTTATATTATATCCTGTTATTAAGAAAAAACATTTAATAAATAAACCTCAAATGTGAAATTGTAGCTCTAATCATTTCTCTCTTTCTGTAACATTGTAAATTGTGAAATTTGCTGGGCAATACAGAAGTGGCATAAAATCTTGACAATTCTACAGAAAGCTACTTTGCTTGGAGTATATACTGGTATATGTACAGTTAGACCAGTGCACATTGAACATTTTTTGCAAAAAGAAATTCAGTGTTGGTAGGTATTTATTACAGAGATGGGGAAATTTATGCATAAGTCAGTTAAGTATGTATGGAGGAAAGGTGTCTACCAGAGACAAATGTTCACTAGAGAGAGGTGTTCACAAGAGAGAGGAGTTCACAGTTGGTTTTACTGTATTTATTCCATAATAACATGTTTTCCCTGGGAAATAAACAGAGAATAGAATTCTATATCAGATTCTGTATCAGCCAAAATCTCATGAGATCCTGTATCAGCAAAAATCCTGTATCATATCCCATATCAGAACAATTTCCAGGGATTTCTGTATATTTCAATCAATAAAAGTTAACAAACGTTGAAAATGTTATATGATTAATTAAATTGTACAATTCTATGTGACCATCATTATGGTATGACATACAAAACTTTAAAGTCAATATAATCCTTGCCCAATATCATATTTTCCCTTGGAATAAAATTCACATTTCATCCTTCCAATTAAATAACCTCTATATATCTTTGTTGACCCTTTAATATGATAGTCATTTGGAAACCAGTGACAACCAGCTTTCAAGCAGTACTTCTGTAGCTACAGGGATAATACCTATGAGACAATGGTATTTGGTCGGGTGGAAGGTTGGATGTATGGATGGAGGCATACTCTTTATCTTTCTGAACACCATGTGTTGGGTTAAAGAGAGTATCATCAGGCCCGTAAGACACTTTTCTCCAAGGGGGGTGCGGTTTTTACTAAAGAGAATATAAAATTGTCAATTTTTTTGCCGCGTAAACCAAATCACGTAAGTCAGAGGGGGGGGGGGGGGGGGGTCGGTACTCCCTATATCGGTTTGGAATTAACAAATGCAACTTCAAAACGTTCCAATTGTTTTGTGGGGGGGGGGTGTGAGGAGTGGTCCACTCCCCCTTGAAAATTTTACAGTTTTGAGATGCTATTTGGCGCATTCTGGGCACTTTCAAAGTGTATGACGAACTCCCATGCAGTGTCTCGGTATATATCACTGCAAGGGAGTTTGAGTGTATGATGAGTCAATAAGAAAAATATGAATTTTTTTTCAAATTCTTTTGGGGGTGTCAAAAAGGATGAGAGGGTGAAGTGGGGTGAGGTGCCAAATTTTGGGGGTGTCAAAGGGGAGGAAAGGGTGCCAGAGGGGGAGGTGGGGTTGGGGTGCCAGAGGGGGAGCAAGGGGTTGTCGCCCAGAAACTTTGACCATATCAAGGTGCTATTTGATGATGTCTGGGCACTTAAAAAATGTCTGAGACAATACATGAAATTCAGAATATTTTCTTTTGTTTTGTGGGGGATGTGAGGGGTGGCTAACTCTCTTACAATTTTACAATTTAAAGATAATATTTGGTGCTTCTGGGCACTTTTAAAGTGTATTAGTCAATAAAAACATTGAAAAACAATCATAATTTTTTCAAATTTTGGGGGTGTCAAAGGGGAGGGAGGGGTGCCAGAGGGGGAGGTGGGGTTGGGGTGCCAGAGGGGGAGCAAGGGGTTGTCGCCCAGAAACATTGACCATATCAAGGTGCTATTTGATGATGACTGGGCACTTAAAAAATGTCTGAGACAATACATGAAATTCAGAATATTTTCTTTTGTTTTGTGGGGGATGTGAGGGGTGGCTAACTCTCTTACCATTTTACAATTTAAAGATAATATTTGGTGCTTCTGGGCACTTTTAAAGTGTATTAGTCAATAAAAACATTGAAAAACAATCATAATATTTTCAAATTTTGGGGGTGTCAAAGGGGAGGGAGGGGTGCCAGAGGGGGAGGTGGGGTTGGGGTGCCAGAGGGGGACCAAGTGTTTGTCCCCCATATCTGTCTCCCAGAAACAATTACAATATCAAGGTGCTATTCGATGAAGTCTGGGCACTTTAAAAGTGTCTGTGCCTAAAAGTGCCTAATTCACAAGAAAATTTTACAATTTTAAGATGCTATTTGGTGCTCAGGGCACTTTCAAAGTGTATGAGTCAATAAAAAATTTGAAAAATCTTAATTTCTTTTTCAATATTTTTTTTTTTTGGGGGGGGGTGTCAAGGGGGGATGCCAGAGGGGGAGGTGGTGTGGGGATGCCAGAGGGCGAGTAAGTGTTAGTCTCCCAGAATCATTAACTATATCAATGATGATGTCTGGGCAATTAAAAAGTGTCTGAGACAATACATAAAAAAAATTCAGAACTTTTCCATTGTTTTGTTTAGGGTGTGAGGGGTGGCCCACTCCCCATAGAAAATTTTACAATTTTACGACGACGCTATTTGGTGCTTTCTGGGCACTTTCAAAGTGTATGAGTCAATTAAAGAATTTGAGAAAATCACAACTTTTATCCAATTTTTTTTGGGGGGGGGGTGGGGTGGTCAAGGGGGGGGGGCAGAGGGGGAGGTGGTGTGGGGATGCAAGTGCAAGATGCAAGAGGGGAGCAAGTGTTAGTCCCCCAGAAACACTAACTGTATCAAGGAGCTATTTGATGATGTCTGTGCACTTTAAAAGTGTCTGAGACAAAACACTAAAATAGATTTCGAACTTTTCCATTGTTTTGTGGGGGGTGTGAGGGGTGGCCAATACCCCTAGAAAATTTACAATTTTAAGATGCTATTTGGTGCTTTCTGGGTACTTTCAAAGTGTATGAGTTAATGAAAAAAAAAAATATTTTTCAAAAAAAAACATTTTTCAAAATTTTTTTTTCAAATTTTTTTTTGGGGGGTGACAAAGGGGGGTGCGGTCGCACCCATCGCACCCCCCCTCTGACGGCCCTGATCATGATACTGGAGATCTAGCGAATAACGTTAACAAAAATTGTCTCAATTATGTTGGGCTCATATCATTCCTTGTAATGTCTACTCTCAAAAAATCCCTAAAGTGTGTTTGAGGAAAACGATTTTTACAAGAATATGCTCATTTCTATAAATGTAGTTTTTACATTCATTATTTGGGAGATTTATACGTAAGTGGCTAATGGATGGAATTAAGAGGGATCACATTCTTGGCTTTAATATCATCGACTTAATGTAATTAACATGTCCCATTTAAAAGTCTCACTTTGTCATTTGGTAGATTACCATTTTTACCAATACAATGTACTGTGGATGGGTGTAACAAGTCAATTTGGATCACACACGAAAACCTGTCACCTCACCTGTGCCAAATGTTACATATATCCCACATAAATACATGCTACTGGGCCAAATAGGTTTTCATTATAAATCATAAATGGATATTAATTCAGTTTAATCATTAACTTATGAATTTGGAACCATCATTAGAATGTATATTGTGCTATGATTCTTCATCCTCCTTGAAAAACATATTATAGAATCTCTTTAACTAGATGTAATTATAATTATATGTCTACATAGAACATGTTCAGAAAATTTTCAAAACAATATGTAAAACACTATGATTACAATAATATCATGAAATTGTTCAGCATGATACTATGTGAGACTATATGGGATTAAATAATGGATATTTAAAATCAACATTTCTAACAGGACTATGTTGTTCATTGGATTTAAAATAAAATAAAATGATTCAACAGCAAATGAGGATCATGGGGTAGCTTTCTATCCCTCAAAACACAAAGTTAATGCACTCGATCACTTTCATGAACAGGATTCTATGAATTCATTTGATGTCATACTAATTATCATGATTATAAATGTTAATCACTGGAATTAATGTAATGGTCGGCATGTGCATTCCCCCCGATGCAACACATCCAAATAATTGAGCATAAGAGAATGAGTGGGATGTTGACCCTCAAAAGAGTGAAGATATTGAAAAATGTATTTTACCTTGTGAGTTACTAAAGGAATTGGGCAGAATGTTAGAAGATACAGTTGATGCAACAGTTGGAGCTTTTAAGAAAATAAAACAACATATTAAGAATAAGCTGAGCAGTGTTAAATATGAAAACCTCAAAAATGACTCATAAATACCGAAAATCTAAAATCATACAATATAAACTGTTAGAAAATCAAAAATCAATCAAGATGAAAACATCTCTGATGCCGACACAAAAACCAAAAATAAAGACACTGGGATTACTAACTTTAATGCTATTTTTGCGAATGGGAACAACACAAGGATCTGAAGTAGAGTCCAGATCTGTATGTGCCTGTTTTAGTGACGGCTTCATCAGAATAGACTGTGAACCCGACCACTTGATCCTCATCAAACGGGAACTGTTAGGCTACAGCAAGACATGTCCAGGCAAATGCCAGTACAAATCACATGGGGGAGGATGCGAACAGGAATATAAGAAAGTGAGCTGGTTCTGTGAGGGAAAACAGAACTGCTTCACAGGAGTTGAAAGAGGAACTTGTGGCTCAACCCTCACTAATTATCTCTACGTTGAGTATCAGTGTGTTCCTGGTAAGTCTTTTAAGGTTGTGTGGATCAGTTTCAGTATGTTCCTTTTTAAGAGTATGTGTATCAGTGTGTTCCTGGTAAGTCTTTTAAGGTTGTGTGGATCAGTTTCAGTGTTTTCCTTTTTTAAAATTATGTGTATCAGTGTGTTCCTGGTAATTCTTTTAAGGTTGTGTGGATCAGTTTCAGCGTGTTCCTTTTTTAAGATTATGTGTATCAGTGTATCTTCAAGATTGCATTTTGAGAATTAATTCCTGTTTTGTGCAGTTACATGTTGAGTACTAGTGTGTTCTTGGATTTTTCAATGTAGGCTGAGTATTAATGTATTTGAGGTATTTTCAAGATTGCATATTGAGTACCAGTGTGTTCTGGTAATTTTATGTTTTCATGCTCTTTGAGATCTCAATTTCTAAGGTTGAGTGGCAAAATTGGAATAAAGCAACATGTCATCTCCATCCAGCCTAATAGCGTGATATTTATTCTGTTTAAATTTAATTGATTCTAATTGATTCTAATGGTGAAAACAAGGTGAAAATAAAATGTTACATTTTAATTTATCAATTTGATAATGAAAAAAATGAAAAATATCTTTTAACTAAAAATGGAGGATATTTACTAAAAAATACAAATATTTTGCATTTCAAATTTTTGGTCACATATCCAAATATCTCTTGTTCACCTATTTTCTCAGGCAAGAAACTTGAGAACACATGCTCAACTACTGAATAAACAACAGTTAATGGTCATCTAATATCTTAAACCTTGATTTTTAGCCAATGAACTCCAGGACATGTGCTCAACCATTGACTATACAACTGCCAATGGTCACCTAATATCCCCAACCTTCATGGCTGGAAAATACCCCCGCGAAAAGAACTGCACCTGTACTCTGAACCCCGAAGATAAAAACCAATCGCTGATGACATTAAGGACTGCAACGTTCATCCTGAGAGCCAAACCCAAGTGTAAAGATTACTTAGAAGTGACCACAAATGATAAATCTGAGAAGTTGTGCGGGTTCCAGGATACACGATCAAGTTATAAAGGCAAAGATGTGACACTGAATTTCTTCAGTAGTAACACTTTGTTCAAGACAAAGGGCTTTTGGCTGGTCATCACAAGTAAGTATCTCATATGTATGTTAACTCATTCGCTGCTAAGGACTTGATATGACGTCATAAAGCACATACGTTGACTACTAAGGACGTGATATCAAGTCCAAGCACAAACCCAATGTATTTTTGGGGGAATCTTGTAACCATGACAACTTATAAAATGGGACTTAAAAAACTATTCATTCTGAACGAGTATGTCATATGCTTTAAAATGATATATAACACTATATATGTATGCCCATGTATATCAAATATATATTATTTCAGAGGTACCATATATGGCAATTTTCAAAATATCGTCAGTATTATAGTGCTTTTTGCCCCAGTATTGAATGAGTTAAGCGATTATTTCTCCGATAACCCAGTACTCATTGTTTATTCATAAAGTAAAACTTGTAAATATGTTAATGTAAGCAAAAGTACAAATGGGGAAGACAATATATTATTCAACATAGTATATACACAAAATGTATAACGAGCTGTGTAAGAATCATTATTTATCAAGATATTTTGATTGATCAGTTTGACAGTATCTATACTTACAGTATTCCTTTATTTTAATTTCAACATTTATTCAGTATTCGTTTATTTCAGTTCCAATGTTTACTAAACAGTAATGCTTTATTTTAATTTCAACATTTATTCAGTATTCCTTTATATCAATTTCAACATTTACTTAGAGTATTCCTTCATTTCAATTAAAATGTTTACCAATTACAGTGTTCCTTTATTTCAATTTCAACATTCATAACAAAATTCATTTATTTTGATTCTAACATTAATGACAGTATTCGCTTATTTCAATTTCAACATATCGATTATATGGAGTCAAACTGATGCTTTATTATTTCAGTATTATATATTTAGTTGGTAAAAATGATTGGAAATAATTTAATTTGATGTTGATGATTTGGGCTTTGAAGTTATACTCATTTCCAAAATAGACCTCCACATCTTATTACTGTCTGTAGGGGCACATACATGTACATTGCAGGCTAGGCAAAAGCCCCACCCACAGGGTGTCCAGGAAGTAAAGATACAAATAATTTTAAGAGATTTACATTTTTCCGATAAATGCTTCACGCACGGCCCATCCATATCCAAAAGTTTCCCCCCTCTTGGCAAATCCTTCTGACGCCTCTGGGGTCACTCTACAATCTGATGCATTTTCATCTCAAAATAAGGAAATCACTTTAAATAAGAGTACTTGTATTTGTATCCTTACTTTCTTGACACCCTGTAGATGTTGCTTCATTTGAATATGTTAACTAATACAATTGGGAATAAAGTCCAGAGATAAAATAATTCCCTTTTAGCTTTAATTTATTGACCTACTTTAAAATTCTGGCTATGACCTTGGCATGATACTTTACTACACACATGATACTAGCAATCGTTTATTTGATAGGTGAGAGTCCAGTTAGGATACGCTGTGGAGAAGCACTGATTCAATCAACCACCCCACAGATAACTACTACACAATTAAGCACCCAAAGAATAGATTATAATATCTCATACAACACAAATGAAACAAATGACAACATTGTCATTGACTTTGGAAGCTCTCCAGCCATAGACCTTGACCTTCTTGATGATACCATATATGATGATCTGAATATTAAAGAAAATGACATTATTGAAAAGGTAGATGACGACAGTGAAGAAGCTGCTGCAAAACCTGATGAAGAACATCATAACTTGGATGGAGATGAAAATAATATGACACATGCACATCATATTCATCACCCTGACTATCCCATACCAGTTTATCAAAATGGGGATCCACTGACACCTCAAGATGAGGACACATTTTATGGGCATACACACTTTGAAGGACACCATGCTAATAATTCAGGGTACCATCATCATTATGATCACCACCCAGAGAAATCAATACCTACAGATGAGACTGGAGTTCCCCTACGTGGTGAGGATGCTGACAGATATTATGGTCACAGTCATCTTGAAACTCATCATCCAGACTCCAATGAAACAAACATTCCAACTGATCTACAACCTAAGAATCACTTTCATCATAAACATCATCCAGAGAATCCTATTCCAACAGATGAGAATGGTGCACCTCTAAGTGAAGAGGATGAGGATGATTTTTTTGGTCACACACATCTGGAAGCACACCATCCTGAAGCAATTACCAGTGATACAGATAGTAAAGATGATAATAAAAATGAAGAGAAAACACAAGAATTTGATCACTTTCACAATGAACATCACCCTAATGAAGCACTCCCAGATTCAATTACACCAGACTTGAACAATTTAGAAGAAAATGGTACCAATGATAAACCTGGTACATCAGATAAGAACCAGAATCAGAATCCAAAGAATACTGCTGAGGGGAAGACAATTGAAAAAGATCAAGATGCAGCTTACAATTCTGCTCAGGATAAAGATGAAAATAAACATTATGGTCATCCCCATCAATTGCATCATGATAAAAGCACTGTAGGTATATCAACAACAAATATTCCTGATAATCAAGTTGACAATGTTATCAAAAACACAAATAATCCAAATAACCAAGGAGAGCAAGACACAAGCACAGTTAATCAAGGAGATGCTTCAAGTAATAAAATGAATCATCCTCATAGTGATCACCATCCTGATGACATTTTTTCTGGTGAAAATGACCTCAACTTTGACCCTACTGATCCTAACACAAAAGCCAATGAAGATGCATATTATGGGCATCTACATTCTGTCCATGATGAAGTTAACAGCACACCTGCTCAAGACACCCTAAAACCACATCATGAGTACCACCCAGATGATGTATACCCAGGAGTGGATGACCCAAACTATGATCCTAACAACCCAGAATCACAAATCAAAGAAGATGAATATTATGGACACCCACTCAAAGATCATCTGAAAGATGTGACACCAACAGATGAACCTTTCACAGACATACCTGGAAATAAACCACATCATGAGTATCACCCTAATGACATATTCCCAGGAGTAAATGACCCAAAGTATGATCCAAATAATTCTATTGCTAAGAAAATGGAAGATGCATATTATAGCCACCCGGTAGAAAATCATTTGAAAGAACTATCTACAACTTATATGCCACCAACAACACAAAACATGATCTCTACACCAATAAAACCTCATCATGAATACCACCCAGATGATAGATTCCCTGGGGTTGATGACCCTAGATATGACCCATCTGATCCTTTTATCAAAAATGCTGAAGATGCATATTATGGGCATCCTTTAGAGGATCATTTAAAAACGGTCTCATCAACACTAGATCCATCACCGCTGACAACTTCAAATATTCCCCTTAAGGCACACCATGAATACCATCCTAATGATATATTTCCTGGGGTCAGTGATCCTAGATATGACCCTAATGATTCCCTTATTAAGAGGATTGAGGATGAATACTATGGACACCCAGTAGGGGACCACCTCAATGATAAAATCCTCTCAACAACAATACCTTTTAAACCACACCATGAATATCACCCTGATGATGTACTTCCTTGGGTGGAGGATCCAAGATATGATCCCAATGATCCTGTCATCAAAAAGGCTGAAGATGAATACTATGGCCACCCTTTATCAGATCATCTAGCAGAAACAACAACTGCAACAGATCTAAAGACCACATCAACAATAGAGTCTACTACTGATTCAGGGGCATTATTACCCCATCATGAATACCACCCTGATGATATTTTCCCTGGAGTTTCTGACCCAAGATACAACCCAGATGATCCACTTATTAAAAGCATTGAAGACACCTACTACGGACATCCTGTAGAAGACCATTTATCCACTAATCCACCAACTTCAACACCAAATGCTAAGTTTAAACCCCACCACAAGTTTCATCCAGATGACATTTTTCATTGGGTTGATAAGCCAACCTATGATCCCAATGATAAAGGTATGCAAGCAATGGAAGACACATATTACGGTCACCCTATCAGTGATCATTATGGTGATAAGGAGCCTGATAAACCAGCCCCTAATCATCCACATTTTTATCATCATCTGGATGATATATTCCCTGGTGGGTATGACAGAGAATATGATCCCGATGATCCTGATGTCAAAGCAGCCGAAGATGCATACTATGAACACCCACATGACGACCATGACCCTGATACGATGGATAACATTTGGGCAGGAAAGGTGATACAATTTGACCATTCCCATTCTATACACACACATGGAAATGATAATTCAGCAAACATGGATGGAGTCATCCTAAATGATGAATCAGGAACAACAGCTAAAAACAATGGCAGAGTGTTTGAAGATAATGAGGGATTTGATATACAGCAACATCTTCACCATCTACATCACAAGATCACTGACCCTGGTGTGATCATCAATGGTGTTCGAAACACTGTTCCTCCAAAAGAGGTTCTCACAACACCCGAAGCAATCCTCAGACCATCTGGAAAAGTCATTACACTAACAGATAATGATAACTCATTTCCAACAAACCAGCCAAAGAAACAAAATGGCCGCATCACTAATGCAAATCCAGTGGATCAGTATTTGACCAATGATAGTCCTGGAACATTTCCAACTGATTCCTTCACAGGTAATACACTTATGTATAATCTTTTGTCATAGAAATAGAGGTTATAACCAAGGAGGGGATTTATCGAGAGGGATGATATGATATCTTACTGAAGGGATCAAGAGAAGATCTCTATCATCCCGAAGGATAAACCTAATATACAATCCTAACTGGGGGATGAACTTTTTGTACCATGATAATTAACAAACGGCAATTGTAATATGAGTGTGTGTTACAGTTTTTATGTATTGTCACATTTGCGAGTTGAATATATTAGTACTGCCATTCTTACATCCTAATGGTCTAATGGTTTGAATTCAACTGGAAATAAAAATCATGGTATAAACAGACATAACGCACAGTTACACATTTATTTTTACAGGCGATATCAGTAATGACAAGTTTGGACCTACTACTGATGACTATTATGATAATTACTATGACAATGCAAATACAAACACTGATACCGAAGATGTACTGAACCCTGTTGGGACTGCAGAAGAGACTGACTCAAATGAACCACCTATCACCAATACAAACAATGGTCCTACTGAACAAGTTGATACTGATGGCCAAAGTGCACCAAATGGAGCTACTGACAAAGATGCTAATATCAATGGAGTCCCAAGTGAGGTTGACAAAGATGATGAGTATTATGATGACTATCATGATACAGATGTGACTGTCTCAATAACTGCTGGTGAGTGATTTCAGATAAGCCCTTATTGCAAACATAAAAATAAAGAAACAGTAAACAACTAGCACCCAAGGATGTAATAAAATAAGTAGGTATCTGTACCACATGATCATACATGTTCATCGAGTATTTGTTTTAATCTATATAGTTTAATCTAAACAATTGGGCAAGATGTATTTTTACATTCACAAATTGTGTTAAATGGAGTTTGAAATCTACCTGTTTAGTAAAAAGACTCAGCTGTGAATGAATTTTGGGTTGGTAACTGGGTTTGACTGACCTATAGTATTCTCATTGGAAATTGTTAGATTATTTCTTATTTAAAGTGGGTAGTATAGAGGTGGTGTTAACAAACCAAAACCTAACTAAAGACAAGGCATTAACATGCAAAATGTTACCAACTGTCATTTGCTACAGACACTGAATGCCGACCACCAACCATCGACAGCCAAAAACACAATCCCAAAAATTGGAGACTATAATGATATGTCATCACTTCTGGTGGTGACATAAAATGGTACCCTTTTCATCCCATTCTATTTTATTTAAAGAAAATAATGTGCTGTTGGAGGATGCTAACAATGAAGTTACTACAAGGGCCAGTAGAGGAAGAATTGCAGCAGCAAGAACTACCACAATCCAACCTATTTCAACTACCCCGTCTAACTCAAGTGGTAATGGCACTGGGGCAGCTATTTTGATTGCACCTGCAGGTGGAGCCACTGGAGCAAACACAGGAGCTGGCTCAGGCAGCAGCAACAATAATTTGATGTGGAGTAAGTTATATTAATTGATTATACCCAGTTGTTGCTGATGTTTTTTTACCTGATGTATTTTTTTTTATTTAGGGAGCTTGGTGATGTTATTTTTTTTAAGTATGTTTGATGATTCTATTAAATATATTTGTATATAATAACACAATGACATCAAATCAGCCATTTAACATTCAATTACAAGTGGGATTATGTGGGATATACATAGAAAGGCTTAGATAGAAAACATCAATCCAATGAAAGCACATAAACCACAAATACACTCAAAGCTTTTGGTTATTAGTCTATTATATACAGAATTTAGGACATGTTGTAACCTAGATCCACTTCTATTAATGAATATTAAATTATAACATGTGATACACCAAACACATTATATAATACTATAGTATACAATAGCCCTTATTTTCATTATTACAATAAGTAATAGCCCTTAAATATATTGAGTTGTCTCGGCAACTTTAATCCTCAATTGACACAGCATTAGATAGACAATATTCAAAATACTATACAATTACATATGCTTTTTCATAATTCAATCCAATATTGATAACAATTCCTTTTTGAGAACACTCAAAATGAAGTTTTGGATGTTGAACAACAAATTATTCTTGAAAGGGTCATTACAAAATATTTAATTAAAAGTCATTCATGAATTTAAAGAGAAGAGTTTAGTGTAATGAAAAAGTTGAAATGAATGGATATGTAAGGAGGCGGAATCAGTCTTTAAAATCGGGCCTTTATATATGTGCTTTTATAAACAGGCCTTTAAAAGTAGGCCTTAATAACTGGGCCTTATGTTAGACCCTTTGTGCATACCAGATGAGGATGAGGATAACTGCTTATGTAAGTTATAACATATTGTAAAAATGGCTTAATATTCTGAAAAATGCAAAAAAATTAAAATGAATATAACATAATGGTAAGTTATTCATAGATTTATCAGTCACAGAAATTTTCACTGAAATATGACTCCACTTAAACTTTTGTTCAAAAGACGAGAAGCAAGATGAAATTATCTTGATCTTGTCATGAAATATTCAAAAGTTGAAATTGATGCCATATCTGAAATCTACATGTATAATTAATTATTACTGGGAATGAGGTTTTAAAAATTATTTACTTTTTTCAGTACTGATTATTGTTGCCCTGGTGCTTTGGCTTTTGTTTATGATCCTACTGGTTCTGCTAATCTGCTGCTGTTATAGAATGTAAGTATTTTAATAATAAAGGCAAAGTTGGAAATTCATGAAATATTGTAAACATAGGACACCAAAATTCAAACATGTCAATATTTTGATTAAAGAGTTGGTCACATTTGCTCTACGGCAGTCATACAATGGCAATAGCTTCACAAAAATAGAATTAGATAATCTACATCTTACTTCTTATCCCAACTTTTATGCTGCATATTTCTCTCTTTTTGGGAAGCTATAACTGCCATACGGTTTCTGTAGAACAAATGTGACTACAACTTTAAGGAAGCTCAATTTAATTCACATCCATAAAATACAATAAAAGCTACAACACATTGGAGATCACTGAGATCATGTTTGTATCAATGTATCAGCCACAGGTCATAATTAGTGTAAGTGAATGAACTCAAAAATGAAAAATATATCAATTAAACATATAATCGGTGCACACTTCATGAGTTATCATGAAATACAAATTACTTAACTAAATGATATGTCACTTGACCAAGCTGTTGGAAGAATTATATAATGTACATGCACATATGCCTATTAATGAGCCATTTTTGCATATTTGCACTTCAAACTTTCACTTATTTCATTACTAGCAGTAAATGCCAAGATTAAAATATCAAAACCATACCAGCTCACAAAAACTAAAGCACCAGCTGAACTGAGAAATACCTACTAGCCTTTTTATAATCTGATTAGTATGTGAAGGGGTGGGATCAAAATATAAGTTTAATAAAACTCCATGTAATTAAATTGAGTTTTAGTTCCCTGTTCACAAGGTAAAACCAACCAACGTCACATTTTCTATACCTCAGACAAATTAAAGAAATTTTAAAATATCTAAATTACTAGGCTACTAATCCCTGATAATAAATAACAAATGAACCTTTACAAAATTTCTTTTCTAGGCGACAAAGAAGAAAGAAACATGTTAGCGATGAAACTCAAACAACTGTTCGTCAGTGGGCTAGGAGTTCCCATAACTCAGTAGGCAGCACCCCATATGCTAACAGAAAAGAAGTTGAAACACTGCAGTTTGGGAGCCATGATTGTGTTGACGGAACCAGAGGAGGAGGTTCAGGAACCAGTATGACTGGTGCCACTTTTGGCCAACAGGGAAGCTATGAAAGTCAATATGGATCTACTTCTAAAATGCCTTATGGAGGGACTAGACGAACCCTGTATGGAGAGCATGGCAGCCAAACAGATGATGGGAATTATGAAGTACGTTTGGTCAGGCTCGTGAATTATGTTTTAATTTTGGTTGCATGGTTATCATATCTCCTTAGTCAAGTAAGAAGCGAACAAAAAATGGTTGATACATGAAAAGTAAAATTTCCAGTAAAATTTCCATATATGTACAACTCTGCTAAAAATATAAATTTTTAAACCTGTATTTAAACTTGGCTGTCTCTCCTTTGGTCCCTGTGGTCCCTTGGAGAATGTGCATTTTTCACAGGGGATAATTCCTGTATCTGTAAATCACAAGAGAAATAATGTCTTAATAAAGATGGCAGCACACTTAATCTAAATACTTATCTTAAACTCAAACTGCTGCCATCTTTAAAAAAATAAGCCCTAAAATGGTGGTACATAGCAGGCTCATTACCTAAGATATAAATCTGCATTCAATTTCTATAAAAAAAATTACAGGTAACTCCACAGCTTCAGATTGGCACTCAAACCATTGATAAACCAGATGAATCTCCTTTGACTCATCAACATAATGTCGACATAGCACCTGAAACATCCACCCTCCAGCGAAATCTACTCAAGTCTTTGGGTGATGGCAACATGCCTGAGAGTGAAGAGGAAGTGATCAGTGAAGGTGAATACCCTGTAGTAATTCTACCAAGAGGTCAAGAAAGCCCACCTGAATCTATACATATAATGGAACCTAAATCAACCTCACCTACAAGAAAGAAGCAAAGCTATTTGGACCTTAATTCAGCAAGGTAAGTACTAAGACATTAATGCTATCAAATAACTTTTATTGTTGGTACCTCAGATTAAGCATTTGAATCTGGTTTAAAAAGAGCGATCAATAGCAGTCAATAGGGGTCATAATAATGAATCTGAGGAAAAGGTTGAACAAATATGATGAATATGTGCTTCAACTGTTCAATTCAGTTGTTTGGAGTATATTGGCCTCAATTTATATTTTTTGGAAGACAAAACAACAATAAGACTTTCCTTCAAGTTGAGCATCTACACAAATATTATAAATAAGAATCATACCATGTAATTATGGTTTTCAATTCAATTCAATTTATTCCTTTATAATATCCTCTAAAATTCCTCAAAATTATACAGAAAATATGTTTTATTCAACCTTTACTACATTAACTTTTATGTATCAAACTCAATGAATAAATGGGAAAACACAAAGGTCGACATAATATACTCCTGTCTCCTGTCAAGCTTTTATATTTCCTTATATCTTGATTGAGATATATCATCTCTTTTATATCAGAGCCATGGCACTTTGCCTATCTTAACACACAGATTTATTCTCAAGTTGGTGCAGAGTTCACATTTTCACAATTCAGCCCAGAATTGATCAAAATATTCCCTTGTTTCATTTTTTTACCCATTTTCAAGTGGGTGCAAAGGGATTTCAGGTAGGTGCAAGTCTGTTTTAAAATTTCAGGTGGGTGCTCACCCACTTGCTTTAATGCTGGGGAGATCATAGATCTTACATAAAGAGGGGTTCCTCTTTGAATTCTGGGTCAATTCTACTCTTCAAAGAAAGTCAGGAATTACCATAAAGTAAGTTTTCTTTACAGGCAGAAGTCCCCTAAGAAGCGTAGACCAAGAGGCACCAAGCCTAGAAGAAAACCTGAAACCAAGACATATGTCCTTGAAGAACCAGTTGAGCCTAAGGCTCAAGATGATGTGAACGAGGTAGAAAATATTAATTTTTTAATTTTTTTGAGCTTAACTATAGATTTATCCTTGTTGGTTAACATTGTGAGTGCTGATCTGCTAAAAGTTACAGTTTCTTTTAATCATATGGATTGGTGTCTGTTATAAAATAGAATGTTTTATGTTAAAATTTATGTTGAAAAAGATATAGAAATGTATTGTAAATTTCTAATCTCAAACAATTTGTTTGTACAGTAAAACCTGTCCAAGTGGAAGATCTTTGGTACCTCTAAATTGTGTTCCACATATAGAGGTTTATTTAACATGTAGTCAGTTGGTCTTGGAACTCTGATGAGTATTCCACAAACATAGGTGTTCCAGTTCTAGAGGTTTCCACTTGATAGGTTTCACTGTATTAAATAGAATGGTACACAATTCTTTTCTTGTTGAGAATGAGAAAAGATTAATTAGAAGAGCCAAATAACATTAAATTAAAGAAAAGGAATAAAAAAGTATATGTCAACAACTAAAACTAAGTCTGTTTATAGGCAAATGTTGCCAACTGGGCAATGAATAACATGACGCCAGCAGACAAGGAACCATCAATTGATGAACCTGATTCAAAGGTAGTAGAAGAGCCTATAGAAGCAGAAGCTGCACCTACACCAGCTGGTATGTATTTCAATGTTCTCCCCAGTTCAAAAGAAAGCATCATTAATATCAATGTCATTGCTAATTAAATAGACAAGGCCACTTCCAAAGTTAAAGATGAAGCAGCTAACTCACAGAGAGAGGATGAGTTTAAAAATAGTTAAAGAAATATGCACCAAAACCAGGAACTTATGAGCATAAGTATATTTTGCAATCATTCGGTGTTCTTGAGAGTGGTAGAGTTGAAAAGGTGTACACTCATTTGCATGGGGTCCCAAAGAAAGACCTCAACATAATACCAAAAATTCAAATGATGACGAATCGGAAGCTAATGTCCATGAGCATTTTGTGTTTATTTATCTCTTCATTTATCTAAATAGTACTATATATATCTACATGTATATATTATAAGCAAATAAGCTACTTTAACTATGCCTTCATTTATTCATTGTTTGTATTTTTAGAAGACCCAATCTCTGTCCCAATAGAGCCAGTCCCTACCCCTGCAGACTCATTCCCTATCCCCTCAGAGACTCCCACCACCAGCCCATCTCCCCAGCCTACAAGGACAAGGCCACCCCTTATGAAGCAAAAATCAAGAATACTGAGAGGTATGTCACTCTCTAAATACAGGAGTCCAAACATTATGCACTTTGAAGAAAGGTACAAAGTGGATGTTTGATGTCTGGACCTCTATTTGTTTGTTTGTTTTTTGTTTGTTTGTTTGTTTGATTTTCTGTGATCATGTGAAGCCACAGTGAAGTAGGCATAACATACACATATCTCTTTATTACCTCACATAAACATAGTCAATCATACATCTGAATTGGTTTCAGGACCACAAACTTGTAAACATGGAATAATTGATTATATATTAAAATAAAATAAAAACACTGATTTAATCTCTATTATTACAGGGGTATTAACTACAGAAAACTCTCAGGCTATGTGGCATTTACCAGATGGCGACACTACAGCTGTGGCAAGCAGCCAACAACGACGTAGTAGTACAGTAGTGACATCTAAGATTGACATTGAAGAGTACAACAGACGCAGACGAAGCTCAACTTTACTTATGCCAGCAACTCCATCTATAAGGGAGGGGGATGAGGAACAAAATAGTAAGTAGATCATTTGCTATAGTTATTAAGGACCTGTAATTGACTATATATTTTCAAACACTGCTTACTTAAATTGTCGATTTATATAATTTTATAAAATTATGAATCATGAATAAATAATTTTAATAGAAATAAAATAATTACCCAAATCTCAAAATTGATCTTTAATATTACAAACATAGCATTTGGAACTAAATTAATGAGAGAAAATCACTACAAATAAAAATTGATAAATGTCAATAAACAATATTAATTAATTTGTTTTTTTTTCCTTTCTAGCATTCTAATGGCCAATATTTATCTGTAAACTAAACTCAATGTCTTTACTGAATGCATGCTTTTTATACTGGGTATATGACATTTAAAAACATCATCTACTTCAATTACTAGTACACTATGTCTTCTACTTAATGCCTTTTAGCTATATTTGTAAGCTAGAAAATGTAAATCATTCTATCATTGTATATCAGTACATATATATATATCATGTTAGTGTTTATTTAACACAGTTTTAAATTGTCATCTCATCATATATACATATTGTACTCACTAAGATCCTTGAGACTTTTATCAACTTCATGTAAATAACATTTCTATATTTAAGTCAGCACCTTTTGCACTAAATGCTTCACATAATCACATTCATTTAGTGGATTTGAATCATAGAAATGCAAACAAAATAAAATATGAAATCAAAAATAAATTAAAGTGAAAGAAAAGTGTGAAATTATTTATAATATTTAGCCCCGGATTAAAGCTCCTATGAACCAACTGAAAACGCTACAATACGAGTAAATGTTTTTATAAAGAATACTGCATCTACAGACGTTTCGGGTCATTGTGACCCTGCAAAAATACTTGTTTTAGTTGATTGGCATTTATGCTGTCTTTTTTTATTTGTGATAAAAGTACAATGAACAAGAAATCAGCTGTTCTTATATCACAGGGGAGGGAGGCAACAATATTAAAATAACTTTGTTTTTGGATATTGATAACTCAAAGCCATAATTTTAAGGAATCTTTAATGCATGAAAAAAGCTTTATGAAATAAAAAACGGCATATTTCTTTTTCTTGAAGGTCTACTTCAAGCATTTTGCATTTTATTTTTCTTAGAATATGTTAATTTTAACCAACTTTTGATTTCTTATCCTATTGTCTGGCTAATATTTCAATCTCCAAGCATTTGCTATTGTTTCACTAATACTTCAATCTCCAAGCATTTGCTATTGTTTCGCTAATATTTCAATCTCCAAGCATTTGCTATTGTTTCACTAATACTTCAATCTCCAAGCATTTGCTATTGTTTCGCTAATATTTCAATCTCCAAGCATTTGCTATTGTTTCACTAATACTTCAATCTCCAAGCATTTGCTATTGTTTCGCTAATATTTCAATCTCCAAGCATTTGCTATTGTTTCACTAATATTTCAATCTCCAAGCATTTGCCTTTGTTTCACTAAAATTTCAATCTCCAAGCATTTGCTACTGTTTTGCTAATATTTCAATCTCCAAGCATTTGCTATTGTTTCACTAATATTTCAATCTCCAAGCATTTGCCTTTGTTTCACTAATATTTCAATCTCCAGGAATTGACTAATTGTTCCTAACTACTTTAAACTCCAAGCATTAGCTATTGTTTCACTAATACTTCAATCTCCAAGCATTAGCTATTGTTTCACTAATACTTCAATCTCCAAGCATTAGCTATATTGTTTTCTATATCTCGTCTTAAAATGGCCTCACTACATGGCAATAGCATCTACAGTTGTTGAATCATACAAGGTAAATAAATAAAAAACGATTAATTTTGTACTTTAATATAATAGTGCTTGATCATAGTGTCTGAACAAAATTAATTATCCTTTTTACACCTTAAAACTGTAAATTGCAAAGATCACTTTTATTAGGCTATATGACGTTGAAAAAACTTATCTGAAATAAAAAAAACACTTTTTTTGCCAAAAACATAACAGTTAAAATATTTTCAGATGGCAATAATAACTTTAACATCAGTGTTACTCCAGAGGACAGAGTCCTTGTGAAACCAGAAGCAACTCCTGGTAAACCAGCGGCAAGGAAATCTATAGGGAAGTCCTCTATTAATGGCAGCAGGCGACCATCAGTCTTATTCCTTGACAATGACTATGCATCTGCTGAGGAATATATCGATAACTGTTGGAACCAGATAGAAGACTTTGAGACAGAAAGTGATAGTCCATATAATGAATTCTCTAATATCCCAGAACCAGATTATGAGAATTCTAATTTCATTTTACGAGATCCAAATGATTACTGCACTGCATCTGTACGTTCTAAACTAGGGAGGAGAAATCGTTTTGTCCCTCCTCCGCCACAAAGATCATTACCCCCTACCCCAATAGATGATTTCGAGGTAGACAACATTTATGACTCCATTACAAAGAGGAAAGGTTTGCCTCCTCCCCCACAAGATTACATTGACCATGGAAATCGTCCTTTCTCTCCCCCTTTCCCCCCACCCCCAAATGACCTGATGCACATACCTATTCCTCCACCCTTACCACCCCCTGAGTTCAATTCCTTGAAACGAAAACCAGACAATAACAGTGAAAATGACTCTGATGATAACTCAGAAGACATGACAGATCCTACAACTATGGAACGCAATTGTAACAAATCTAGAGAAAAGATTAAGAAATATTATACAAAGGAAGCTATGGTGCTAAATGACCAAGTACAGAATGAATTAAGGAGAATTTTAAGTTTTAAAGCAACGCATGTTGATGGTCAAGCAAATGACACAGCTGATGACATAAGTGAGGTTGATGTATGACCGTATTAAGTATAAAAGGGGCAACAAAGATAAAGGAAAGCTAGTAACAATTGAGAGTAAATTTCTAAGAACAAAAAGGTCACAACTTTTTAATATTTTTTGCTCACGATACTCCAGTTCTTTTTTGATTATAAGTTTACGTGAATAGATATTTCTGCATATTATATCTTAAAAACTCTACAATCAATTTCTCAGATCGTAAAACTAGGATTGTAAAGGAAAAGCATACTTTGACTTTTAATATTGTATATGAGCTATTCTTTGTTGCCACTTTAAGATGAAAATGTGTCTCTTTCAGAGGACCAGATTTACATTTTAATTATTGAACAGATATATTTTTGTCCTTATAGGTCATTGCCCAAGATTAAAACCCAAAAATGAGAAAATGTAAGCAAAATATGTTATTTGTGATGATATGTACTTCAATGCAAATGTATATAGATTTGTAATAATGGTTATCTCTAAAACTTACAATTGTAAAAATTAGATGTTTATAGATGGAAAAAATGTTAACAATAATTATGTTATTAATAAAAATAATGTGTACATAATGTAAATTCTGATTTGAAAATTGTTTATTTCCAAAACGTCCTGTCAAATATAAAAACCACATTAAGTACTAACAAGCCCTGGTTAACTAGGGTCCAAGTTGACCTGTGACACCCTATTTGAGGAAAAATGAAACGCAAGGCATTATCCTGACAAAATGTCACCACCTAGTTGCTCACAATATTATGAGTTCAATCATAGACAGATTTGAATTTCTGAGAACTTGTAGATAATTTTGAAAAAAATTGTCAACTTAAAAAAAGTTGAAAAAGACGCTTTTGACCTTGACAAGATCATTGAAGGTGAAATCTCAAATCTTAAGTCAGATTTGAACTTCTAAGAAAATGGCACCACGGCTAGAGAAGCCAATTACCAACTGCAAAACACCAACGGCTGAACACTAACCACCAAACACTGTCCACAAACATATTGGAGACTTTAACAATATGTCACCACTGATGGTGACATAATAAACTGGCTTTAAAAAGGCTATTAAATAGTAAGTTAGGGTTGCCAAACTTTTTGTACATAGGGCAACTACCTCATCAAAGACCAATTGGGAAAATGTGAAATGATTGAAGGTGACCCCAAGAAGTAATATTTTTTGGATTAGTTTTGGTTCTCACATAATGAACAAAATTTCTTACCTTTCTCATGCTGAACTCTGATGACCTTGACCTTTATAACAGGATGCATTATTCAGCAAGGTATTATATTTGTGGGATTGGACTTTTCGTTTATTGTTCAGTACTAGTTGTATCAACAAAAAAAGTCTTGCTTTAAGAGGATCTCATTGTTCATATGTTTGTATGGGTCTTTGTTTTCTTTATCACTACTGTGCACACTGCATATGTAGCCTAGAGGTTTTACTTGGCTGAAGATTGTAGCTGTAAGTGTGAAGCACCATCAAACTGAAGTAAATAAATAAAATAAATACATTGTAATCTAATAAGGAAGAAAGGTAACAAATATACGTACATGTATGTGGTATTTATCAGACAAGGCATTAACATGTAAAATGTCATCACCTGCCATTTGTTACAGACACCGACTGCAGAACAATGTACATCAAATGACAATTATAGAACACCATCCACAAAAAGTTTGAGACTTTAAAAATATATGACTACTTCTGGTGGTCACATTAAAAACCTAAAGAATACTAATTAACAATTTTTGAAGAAGGGGTTTTCAGATGAGTCATTTCTGGAAACTAATCCATCTATTTTGACAGAAACTGTAGCACTACAAACATGACATTCAATTGTTCAAGAAAATCTAATTGTCTTTTCCTCCATTTATTTGACAATAACAAAAAAGATAGCATTGATTATGTAATCAACTAATATATTTTATACAAAACAATTCTAATATTCATTATTACTTTCAATATTAGGACCTGGTGTTCCCCATCAAAGTGACTGAAAGAAAATGTTTTTCTTTTTCTTCAATTTTGAAGTAATTACTATTCATCGCAAACTGTTAAAATAAAGAATTTTTTAATTTAATTAGAACATATACAAAATTCAGATCATATATACTCTATGATTATATGACTAAAATCATTGAATTAATGTAAACGTACATATACTCTCAGCCTTGCAATGTTTACCCATCAAAGATGAGATATGATATATAGGTATATGCTCTTGAGAGATAAGTTTTTGATGTACTATACTGCCTATATCCATGCAGATGTACATGTTCTACACTTAGAAAATCATATCACGATCCAATTTCTGCAAACTCTCAATTCACAAGCATATCAAAGATTTTGAGATTCTAAATGAAATTACCAGTATTAAATTGTATGGAAAAAGATAAGTGATGACACCTGATTATTATATTATAGTCCAATTAATAAAATGTTCATGCAATATGTATGTCTTCATAATCAAAAGTCATAATCAAATCAAGACAAGGCATTAACATGCAAAGTGTCACCACCTGCTATTTGTTACAAATGCCATGTCACAGACACCATGTGTGTTACGGATGGACACCGAAAACCAACCGCTGCCACAAAAAAAAGTTTGAAGACTATAAAAATATGTCACCACCTATGGTGGAGACATAAAATTGTGACCATCACAAGATACCATGTTGTCTTCTCTATACCATGGTTCAAATGTGGAAAGCCCTGAGGGATACTGCTATTTATTTCAGAGGGGAACCAAAAATCAAATATTTGACCTTCGGGATGCATGTCCATTTTGAACCTTGCAATATTAATGAGTAAATGTTAATCAGAGAGCATATCAAATAGATATTTTTATATACAAGAGATTACAAATTGGTGAAACATTTTAAAACTGATATCACATCCACTATATGATTTTTAACTAATATACACTGTCATTCAAATTTATAGAAACCATTTACCATGTTCAGATTAGAGATGTGTTCCGATGTACAGGTTTTACTTTTATTAGAAGAACATACTTGTATGTGGTACCTTAAAATATTGATCCATTTGGAAAGTATTGAAGTGGATTTTGAGATTGCGAATATGCTGAAGTTATGTAGCTAAAAAGGCATATTAACATGCAAAATCAAATTGAGTCTCCATTTAAGCAAACCCCTCTGGCAAAGCCGACTTTGCCATAAGGTCCCAGCAAAAACAAAGGTTTAAATAACCAGTATCAAAAAGTTATATTTTTACAGTAAAATGGTGGGTATTTTGGATTCAATTTTGAGTGGCATATTGGAAATTCCCTCTCAGGGCATTTAGAATTTAGACTAAATCTAATAACAAGTATTTTGGTTAACAATCGCTTTCCCAATGTCAACTTCTTTGAAATCCTGAACTAGAAAGAATCATATTAGATATCTCTAGATGCATAGAAGACACTTTAAATTCACATGCAGAATAAAGGTAAAAAGGTTTGGGCTACAAACTCTGAAAATTTCATCAAGATTGGTGCAATATTAAGAAAGTTACGATATCTTTCACCTTATTTATTGGACACCCTGTTTATATGATATTTGGCATTTTCCCATATAATTCATGCTAGAATAAGCTGTTTAAATGGCTATTTCGCATAAAAAATTCTTTATTTAATAATTTTAATTATCGCAGACTTACATTATACATATTGCTTTAAATGGTATAAATCTAGCACCAAAAAATAATTTGGAATAGCTTTCATTTAAGTTGCTTTACCAAATAAATGCTTTTGTCTATATTTCTCTCTAAGATTATAGTTCTATAAAAATTACGAAGAGTGTATGCATATTCTCAAGTACATAAATATATTAGATGATAACATGAGACTCTAGAAAAAATTAGACCCTCATAATTAAATTCTAAAACAAATATGGAACAGGGAATGAAAAATAAAAATAATTCAAAAATAAATGAAATTCTTAGAAATCTATATATTTATAAGTACATAAAATTTGCTGTGCAAAAATGTCCTTCAAAGATTTGTCCAATAAAAATTGTTTTGTAAGAGTGCACCTTTTATGATTGGTTATCATATCTGTCAGCCCTGACATACTTTGAACCACTTATCCTCCTTATTAAATTACAGTTTAAGGAAGTAATTGTGTTATCTGCGACATGTATGTTCAGCCATGTATTCTACTTAACTGCAACAGATAACAAAAGTATTCTTACAATGTAACAGTACAAATAGGAGGATATTTTAAGCAATATTGACAAAATGTTCAGAATTTGAAAATATTCCGAGGGATTTACCTGATGGCATACCGGGTAAGTGATTTATAATATTTGATAATTTATTTATTAAAGAGAAAAGTTATGATCGATAGATATAATAATTAATAAGTAACAAAATAAAAATTGAACTTTGTCTTTAATAATCTATAACTGCATGATGCACCTATATAAATTTTTGCCAAGCTACTGTGGTTTTGTAGCCTTTATATTTAATACCCAGTGATCTCCTCAGCATTAAAGCAAGTAGGTGCAGCCTGAAAATCCTGAAAATCCATTTACACCAACTTGAAAATGAGAAAAAATCATGAAAAATTGGCATATTTTGACCAATTTTGGTCTATATTTTGAAAATGAGAATTTTGCACTCACCTGAGAAAAAATCCTGAGAGATCACTATTATATCTACATTGTATTCCATAAAAATGAGGATATGTAGACATTTAACATACATTTAATCTTTAATATTGTGAGACATAAAATCAATTAGAGAAAAACAATTCCAGGTTTTTTATTAATGTACCATAAATTAATCTTTTCAGACACTAGAAATGGTGAATCGATTCAGCAAAGAAGGAAGATATGAAGACATCAATAAACTATTTGTGACAAAAATCGAAGAAAAAAAGTAAATGTACAAGTACTCAAAATATCAATGATGACAAGGACTTATAAAAATAATACATTTCAAGGCATCAACATTTTTACATACATGTATCACTGACATCACTGTAAGGGTGACATCAAAATCAGTGACATCATAACACCTGACATCAAAATGGCAAGGCAGATGACAGCACGTTTCAGAATCTTTGTTATTATTCTTGGATCAATATATTTCACTGGATTATATTTCTTCCACAAGGGGCAACACCAAGATGATAATGCCATGTCTAATGAATCAATGGAGAGGCGCGAAGCCTTGCAAATCATCAATCAAAAATTTGATCAAATTAAACTTGAAAACAAAGAAAAGAAAATGCTTCTTGGGCCATATAAATTCCGCAGACAGCTAAATACCAGTCTTGTTAAAACTCAACGAGTGAATATCGCTGCAGTTGGAAATAATAATATTGTTCAACAAAATGCGAAACATGACAATGTGATTGAAACTGCCAAAAATAATGATCTTACCAATAACAAATATATCGAAGATCCAGAAACTGACAATAAAGCTAAGAATTATGCTAATCCTACGTGTCATTCACAAAACAAGCATCTGCCAATTGAACGCTTCGTACCTCTGTCTGATCAATATGATAAAACAGAAGTTTGGGTTTACTCAGCGTATTTAGACTCGAGGAAGTCCGAAGCAGCATTCATTAGAATGATGGTGTTAGCTAATATAAAGACAAAGCCACGTCACAAAATCATTTGTGAATTTGAAGAAGACTTAACTGTAGAAGGAATCTATTATGAACTCTGTGAGAACCACAGAAAAACTTATGGCGGATTTATAATATCATGTCCAGTCCCTGCTAGTTTGAATCATACTCCGTGCAATATTAATGTATATATCACAAAACATTATGGCCATGTTGGCAAAAAGGTAAAAATACCTATATACTCAACAGAAATTTTGCCTCAGAGAGACGATTTTGGTATTTGTGTTCCACCCTTATTTGGCAATATTGACAAACATCGTCTTATTGAATTCATAGAAATGTCCCTTATCATTGGAGCAACAAAGTTTGTATTTTACGATTACAACTTAACACCAGAGATTAAGAATGTATTGGATTATTATACACAACGTGGGGTAGTTGATCTTGTTAAGTGGCATCTTCCAGTAGATGGCAGGGCGGTATATTATAAAGGGCAAATCTTGGCTGTAAATGAATGTCTCTATCGAGAGATGGCTTCTTTAAGATATGTGGCATTCCACGACATTGATGAATTGATAGTTCCCCGTCAACACGAGGATGTCCCAAGTATGATGTCAGAGCTAGCTGTTGATGACAATGTCGCATTCTGTTTAGAAAGTGCATTCTATGATCCAGGACACAACCCCAAATTTCAATCAACACAGCTTATATCTCTTCAACACCGGACTAGAACAATACAATATCACAAAGTAAGGCGAAAATGTATAGTAGAGCCACGGAAAATATTTGAGCAAGGAATACATCATATTTCAAAGCAGAATGAGGAATATTACCAAATTATTAAACTTGATCCTGATATTGCAATTTTACATCACTATAGAAAATGCATGAGGGATTTTGGCATGAATTGTGACAAATTTGTAAATGATAACTGGATTGATAAATATTCACAGCAACTTGAGCACAATTTTAACATAGCTCTAACAGATATCAATAGAAGTCCCTTCAAAGTATTTATTTAAAAGCCTCGTACAATGTTTGAAAATATGTTTTTATCACTCATAAACTATTTTTAAATCTTATTTTAGAACTTTTAGACGTAAAAGAAATTTGAAAAAGTTATCATATTTTAATTTTTCAACTATTCAAAGGATTGGTATCGATATGGAGAACTAAATTCGACAATGTTTTTTCTCTTAAACCAATCATTGAAAACATTCTGTAAAAAATACGGTATTTTATGTAATGTTGACTGATTGACAACAATTTAATGCGAAAATTATTTAGAATTTTTTATACAACATTTTTTGTTTTTTAGTGCAATTGTTTTTGCCTTCCAATTCTTGAGAATGAAATAAAATGTCTTTCCGAACCTTGTTGGAACAAAATAACATATACAACATGTTTTTCGACTTCTCAATATTATAGTTATACAAAAGAATTTTTGGTTGATTTTAAAAAAGTATAAACAAAATCCCCCAAAATAGATAAAAAATAGATAAAAATCATGATAAACCTTTTATTTCATTAACAAGATACTTTTTTAAAATCAACCAAAATTTCCTTTATACAATTACAATATTGAGAGACCCAAACATGTTGTGTTTATGTCGTTTTGTTCCAATAGGGTTCGGAAAGATGTTTCATTTCACTCTGGAAACATGATACCAAGAACAAAACAAGTGTTTGATGTGTTTTCTAAAACAATATACAGTAAAACCTGTCTTAGTGAACACCTCTCTCTAGTGAACACCTGTCCCTAGTGGACACCCTTCCTACGCACATAGTCCACTGACTTCTGTATAAATTACCCTCTCTCTAGTGAACACCTACCTACAGTGAATGTTTTTTCTTTGCAAAAAAATGTTCACTATACACAAGTTTTACTGTAGATGAAAGTATATATTTATTGTTTCCATTCAAAAGATGACCATTAAATTGACGATATGTTAAATTTTTAGATTTTTTATATGACTTAAGAGAAACGTGTGTTCAAAAAGTTCTCCATATCGATACCACTCCTTTCCCACCATTTTTCAAATAAAAATTGAACTTTTTATTCATCAAATATTGTACTAAACCATGCAAAAAAACAATTTTTTTTATCACCATTGAGGAGATTGAACAAAGGGCACACTATTTCATATCTAATGTTCTGCACATTTCCATTGACGTGTTATACATAGATACGTGTATTTAAAAAGAATTGCACCCTTGCGACATCATTGTGATGCAAAAACTTTCAAAATAATTAAATGTTAATTGTCTAATACAGTTGAATAGGAGAATATGTTATCTTAAATATACAATTGGCTTCTATGAGAACTAAAATTTAAAATGATTTTTTCTCTGGGCCGCTTTGGCGCTTTCATGCATGGGTGAGTTCATTTCTATCTTATTTCTAAGCTCAACCAATTTTTCACAAGAAGAATGCTATGCGAAGGTGTGACAATTATCGCTTATTAAAGGATATGTGCATACCTTGCTGGCACTCTGTTAAATAGTGACTCAGAAAAAATGCTGATTTGGTTTAGAGTGTTTAGCACATATATCGTCCCATTATTTCCACATTGTTATAACTCACTTTTTACAGGTTTTGAGATAAGTATACTACCTTTCTCGGGAAAAGAATTTAGGCCCACATTGTCATATCCGTTTGTGTAGGCAGCATAGCCAATCAGAGACATAATTTTGATCATGTGACTTAGGACTAATAGCTATAACAATGTGGAAATAATGGGACAATCTCTTACTAGTATACTTTTCAGGTAATTAAACAAAGGAGATCATAAATCATGACACCATACATGTAGTACAAACAAAAGAAAGCAGATTTGACAATTATTTGTCACAAAAAATGTTCATTCAGTGAACTTAATTAATTACTGATCTTGTTATAGCCTTTTTACCTTTGTCATGTACCTTTTAAAGATCTGGTGGATTTATCCAAAATATTTACAAATTTTCGCGCTTAAGTTGTGTTGTTATGGCTACCACTTGAGTCACTTGACCAATCATGATCAAACTTGTCATAGCAACTAATTATATATAGGTACATTATCCCTAGAAATATGAATGTGACTGAAGGTATATAACAGAAATTATTCATGATTATCATAGTACCCCCTCATAAAAGAAGCCAGGGTAACAATTTGCAGATGCTGAAAAACTAGACCCTATTTTTCAAAATCAATGAGAAATGATATATTTCACATAATTAACATGATGAAAAAAATGCAATCCTGTAAGCAAAAACATGGACCAAGCTCATCCAGTACCTTATCAGTCAAAATGGAACAGGAGTCATATTCTTTATAATTAGATGGGCAGAATAATGGTATACGAGACAATAACAAAATGGAAGTGAATAAAAATTCAGTTTTCAGGGTTATTTTGATATTTCAAAAACAAGAAATCATAAAAAAAAGATGTGTTTTATTTTTTGTTAATCAGTGATTTTTGCTCTGCAAGGCCTACATATACACATGATTACCATACCAAAAAATATGTTTTTAAAAATTACTACTCAAAAGTTATGAAGACCTAAACTTCAACCTCTGATTTCTCAATATCAGCAAAAATGCAATTGTAACAATGTAGAAATAATGGGACGATATGTATGAAATTATCATTGGATGTATTTTCCGTAGCTTCATTTGAAAGTGGTTGAATATTTTTAAAATTTTGATGAAGTTATAGTACATGTATAGTCATGATATTTCATTATCACTCCACCCAACATTTATTATCAAAATGAAATGTGTTGATTAAAAGATCCCCTACCAAGCTTTAATATATTATTTAAACCATCACCTGCTATAGACTGGTTATCATTGTTATTCTCACATATTAATTATAACAAGCCCTGGGATGACGATGTCTCTTGATTAGCAGGGTCTTAATTGACCTTTTTCCATATAAATGGAAAATAGATGGCATCATGGGTATTGGTAGGGCTAGGCTAGAATACTAAGAAATTCTCCATCTAAAATGTCACTCGAATTTTTTGTGATTATGAGTCAAAGAAAGCATTCTTGAGTTTCAAATTGACTTCTGTCAAAAATCTTGTTGCTATCTAGAAACGAGCAATTGTGATCTTGTTGTTACCTAGGAATGAGCAACTGTGATGTCACGTCACACTCATGTTAATTCTGGAATCACATGGCAGCCATTTTGGAAATTTCAAAAAAGTTCCCAATTAAAAAGGCTAAATGCTGTTTACAAATTGGAAACTATGGCAGAATCAACAAAGGGTTTGTGAAATAATTAGGATATTGTTTCAAAATTATGCACGTGACAATATATGACTACTAAATGCAGGCCTGTCAACTTGGGAACACCTAACATGAGTGACTTGGAAATGTTGAACACCTCCCCTCAAAATGTGGACACCTTGGTCCAAATGTGAACACCTTGATCCAAATTTTGAACACCTTGGTTTAAATTTTATTACATCTTGCCAAATTTTGAACACCTCAAATTTTTCGCGCTCGCTACGCTCGCATCCATCAAAAGTGGGGGGGGGGGGGGGGGGGGTAGGTACGAAAAATTTCGAACGGAATGCATGACATATACGTAATTCGCGTGAAAAGTCTGAACGAAATGCGTACATTTTTTTTCCGGCGTTCGTATTTTTGCTGTGTAGATGATCTTTTTTAGAAATTTTTCTACAGAAATATTTTTGCTTTTGCTGTGCTGTGCAAAAATGTCCTTCAAAGATTTGTCCAATAAAAATTGTTTTGTAAGAGTGCACCTTTTATGATTGGTTATCATATCTGTCAGCCCTGACATACTTTGAACCACTTATCCTCCTTATTAAATTACAGTTTAAGGAAGTAATTGTGTTATCTGCGACATGTATGTTCAGCCATGTATTCTACTTAACTGCAACAGATAACAAAAGTATTCTTACAATGTAACAGTACAAATAGGAGGATATTTTAAGCAATATTGACAAAATGTTCAGAATTTGAAAATATTCCGAGGGATTTACCTGATGGCATACCGGGTAAGTGATTTATAATATTTGATGATTTATTTATTAAAGAGAAAAGTTATGATCGATAGATATAATAATTAATAAGTAACAAAATAAAAATTGAACTTTGTCTTTAATAATCTATAACTGCATGATGCACCTATATAAATTTTTGCCAAGCTACTGTGGTTTTGTAGCCTTTATATTTAATACCCAGTGATCTCCTCAGCATTAAAGCAAGTAGGTGCAGCCTGAAAATCCTGAAAATCCATTTACACCAACTTGAAAATGAGAAAAAATCATGAAAAATTGGCATATTTTGACCAATTTTGGTCTATATTTTGAAAATGAGAATTTTGCACTCACCTGAGAAAAAATCCTGAGAGATCACTATTATATCTACATTGTATTCCATAAAAATGAGGATATGTAGACATTTAACATACATTTAATCTTTAATATTGTGAGACATAAAATCAATTAGAGAAAAACAATTCCAGGTTTTTTATTAATGTACCATAAATTAATCTTTTCAGACACTAGAAATGGTGAATCGATTCAGCAAAGAAGGAAGATATGAAGACATCAATAAACTATTTGTGACAAAAATCGAAGAAAAAAAGTAAATGTACAAGTACTCAAAATATCAATGATGACAAGGACTTATAAAAATAATACATTTCAAGGCATCAACATTTTTACATACATGTATCACTGACATCACTGTAAGGGTGACATCAAAATCAGTGACATCATAACACCTGACATCAAAATGGCAAGGCAGATGACAGCACGTTTCAGAATCTTTGTTATTATTCTTGGATCAATATATTTCACTGGATTATATTTCTTCCACAAGGGGCAACACCAAGATGATAATGCCATGTCTAATGAATCAATGGAGAGGCGCGAAGCCTTGCAAATCATCAATCAAAAATTTGATCAAATTAAACTTGAAAACAAAGAAAAGAAAATGCTTCTTGGGCCATATAAATTCCGCAGACAGCTAAATACCAGTCTTGTTAAAACTCAACGAGTGAATATCGCTGCAGTTGGAAATAATAATATTGTTCAACAAAATGCGAAACATGACAATGTGATTGAAACTGCCAAAAATAATGATCTTACCAATAACAAATATATCGAAGATCCAGAAACTGACAATAAAGCTAAGAATTATGCTAATCCTACGTGTCATTCACAAAACAAGCATCTGCCAATTGAACGCTTCGTACCTCTGTCTGATCAATATGATAAAACAGAAGTTTGGGTTTACTCAGCGTATTTAGACTCGAGGAAGTCCGAAGCAGCATTCATTAGAATGATGGTGTTAGCTAATATAAAGACAAAGCCACGTCACAAAATCATTTGTGAATTTGAAGAA